TCTCTCTCTCTCTCTCTCTCTCTCTCTCTCTGTCTCTCTCTCTCTGTCTCTCTCTCGAGTAACTATCGTAAATTTTCAACGCGGTGAGGACGTCGCGATGAAACTGGAATTCTTCGTGCGAGGAAAGCCCACTCCGCGCCTCGCCTCCGTCAATAAAGTCGCAGAAAGGACGACGCTGACCTCCGCAACGTGGAGACGACGACGCGATTGCTCGAGACCCGAGAGACTCTACCCCGAGTTGTTACCCGAGTTGTTGTTAGCAGGGATATTTTCACGAGGAAATAGTCTCCGCGGCGCGCGGCGTGCCTTCCCTGCGAGGTTATCGCTACCCCGAGGTCATTGAAGATCGCATAAATAAAGCGCAATTCAAGAAACGAGCGCGCCGCGCTCGCCAAGAAGAGTAGGAAGAAGGATGCGCGAGTCTGGGGAAGCGCGGTAAGGATCGAATGGGATCCAGGATTCTGGTTTTCGATGCGTTTCGACGCGAATATGAGACGCACACCGGTAAGATCGGCACGCTTTACGCGAAGTGAAACGCAAAGAGACGGTTCTCGTGAGATACTACAGAGAGGAAATGCTAACTTCAAGACCCGTATTTATAGTTGTTACTTGAAACTTGTCTCGCGTGAGACCCTCAGATATGAATTTGAAATTAGATCTGAATCTTTAGGGATGTATCGCCCGCATAGTCCCTACGAAAAGACACTAGAAATTAATAACGCTTTAATATTTCTATTTTCTGTATAAAATGTATAATACATATATTCAATACAGTTTTTTTAATAACATATTTTTATTTCAATATCTCATATATTTTTATAGTTTATTTATTGTATATTGTTTTTTCTTTTATAACATACTCGATAAAAAATTTTGGGCGCCTATACGCTCTGAAGAATACACTTTATAAATATTAAATATATTTAATAAACAGAATATGTGTGCGTGCGTGCGTGTGTATGCTATTTTGAGTCGTAAGCATGTTTACGATTTCAAATTTTCTCTATTAAACTTTAATTAATTAATTTTAATTTATTAACTTTAATTAATTAATTATATAAATAAATTCTGAATCACAATGATACTTTGCATACATCATTTTGCCAAAAATCTTCAATATTCAAAGTTCATACATGCAAAAAATAATTTTGTCTTTATTTTTTTCAATGTCTTTTTCTTTACTGAGAATAATATCATATATTAACAGCGCAAATGACAGCACTAATAACTAGCAAATGACGTATTAATGACATTTCTAATATCATTAATATATCATTCGATATTATAATGTTCGCTGGCTCTACACTTCAGATAACTTTTGATCTAGACTCTGAATCTTTGTGTCAGCTTCAGATACAATATAGAGTAACCTGTAATTATTTCTAAAATTTCTTATTATTTTTGAGATATAGATAATACATTCTTAAGTTAAATGATCACAAATATAATGTTATATCATATGATTCAAAGTGGAAAACTCAGATTTAATTCTAAATTTGACATGGACGTAAGAATATCTGGATAGGACATATTGTCGCGGGGATGAAGCCCAAGGGGTGAGGGAAATGATATATGTATTGTAATGGAGTTGATGTACCAAGATGGCGACGGTCGCTATTTATATTTTAACACAGTGAAAATAGATACAAAAGCTCCTGTATCAACATGGTCGCAACGATGTATCCCTCTTGCTCTTTAGACTTCACAGCCCCTCGTCTATAATTGCACTTTGTGCTTTGTCCAGATATTCTTATGTCCATAAAATTCGAATATGAAAAAATTGTTTAAAACAAATTTCAAGTAACGACTATAAACACAGGCCGAAATTTAATCAAAAATGTATAAAACAAACGCCGTTATAAAATATAAGTATACTACAAAAAAGATCTATAATAACACCTGAAAAACTTTAAACAAACTCAATTGCAGTGTTGCATATGGCAAACCAATTAACCTAATTTTTTTCATAAAATTTTTATATATGTTTCATTTTTTTGTAAAACAAGCTCAAAATTTGCAAAATTTGTGTAATCCTGTGATTTGGACCTTTTTACCCAATCTTTTTCCAGCGTGATAACAATATTTGTTTTCAGAAGAGAGAGAGCGAGATGAAGGAGAGAGGAGACAAAAGAGAGGGAGAAAGGAAGAAGGAGAGGGTGGTATAAATGCAATTTTGTCAATACTATTTTATCTAAAATATTCTTTCTTTTCTCAATTTGAAAAAAAATTTGCGATTACTAAGTTATCCAATCGATTCTACTTATATAATTAATCGTTCCAAGAGAACGTGAGAATCAAAAAAGGAACGCTGTTTCCTTAAATTTTGGGAACCCTGCGACCTTCCTCAAGGTCATACCGAACCGGACCGCTAGACTTTTTTCCGGGAACTATTTGGAAATCGTGCAGGAAATCGTAGCGAACCACCGGTCCCGTTGGAGAGCAGCCGGAATTACTGTCGTTTATTTTTCCAGTCTCGAAGATCTCAAGTTTAGACCGCACCACGCTATCGCCCCTCGCGGCCACGAATTGGCGCGCTGTAATTTGGCGGTGGCGCGCATTAATTTTCTTATCGCTCGGCGAGGAAATCAAGCAATCGCCGACATATACAGCCCCGTTGTAAGACACGTTACCGTAATATCGCGTGAATGAATACACATCGGCCGAACATTTCCCGCTACGGAACGCGAGCGAGAAGCGTGCGAGAACCTGGCACGCTCGATATCCTAATGTGCATGCTTTTTCAGCTCCTCTCTCTCTTTCTCCCTCCCCCCCCCCTCTCTCTCTCTCTCTCTCTCTCTCGACACACAGTAGTTTCGATCTACGGTCGCGCGGCGGTTAGAGGTCTACCTTGAGGCGAGTTTACGGCAGTCTCGTTCCGAGAGGATTTGCCGCTCGTACTCGAAATGAACGCGCGCAAAGAAAAGAAAGAGCGAGCGACAGCTAGTAGTAACGCCTCAGTTTTATATTGCGGGACACGCAGGTAATAAGTACAATGAGACGCCTCCCGAGAGAATTACGATTCGGTGTCCGCGAGTATATAGCGCGCGTTACACGATACGATCATTATCGTGTCGGACTTTTCTAGACGTTTAAACGGCGCGACAGCGCAAGTGTAACGCTATAAAATCCGCAGGAGGATAAAGAGCCGCGTCGAGATAGGCGACGTGTATAATAGTGTCGAGTGATAAGAAGATAAAGGTCTCGGGCCGTGCATACCGAGTGTCAGGTTTTCATATCACTTGCGCAGTTGGACGGTCTTAGATTACGGCTAATGATACTTATGGGAACCGACAGACTCACTTTCTTGACGGTAGAATTAACTGCGTGCGTGCGTGCGAGGAACAATGTGGAGACGTACCTGATGAACGAGATGCTTAATAAAATCTTCATGAGACAGGAAAGACTTTCCGCGCATATAATAGAAAAATCGCATTACGGAATGACAGAAATTAACAATGGAACTACCGACGATTAACGACCTATTTCTACCATAACGATGAAAATGGCAGATTCCTAAAGAAATACGTTATGCAAGAGACGAAACGTTTATTTATTCCTTTTCACTTTATTCGACTGAAAATATATAATGCACCGTTATAAATTCAGATAATTTTTATATGAAATTACAAACCCCCCAC